AAAAAAAAAAAAAAAAAAGATTAGGAAGGAAAAGAGCAACTAGCACAGGATAAGCAAGTCAAGAAGTGTTCAAAACAAAACAAAAACTTAGGAAAACTTACATAGCAAGTAAACATCCTCCACACTGTTAATCAAACAGTGATGCCTGTGARTGTGAGGGGTTAGGATGTGGATTATTTTTATTTTAATCATATTTTTAGTTGATTTTTTGAATAAGTGGTCCCTTTTGTATTAAAAAATGAAGAAGAAAGTGTAATGGTTTAGAGAAAGAATAATTTCAAGAAATGGTTGGTCAACAGCATTAAATATCAATTGTCAAGGACAAGAAGACAGATAACATCACTCATATAGACAAGAAGTTAATGATGRAAAAAAAAGTAGTTAATGATGAACATAACCCATAAGTAAAAAGGCTTAATTGCTATTTCATGGTATACAGTCTTGCTCCTAATAGCMTGAAATCATAATGCTGAGTGAATATTAAATTAGGAATCTAACAATTATGCCCAATGTAGTACCTTTTAATGATAAAATTTTACACAAATATAAATACAGGAATTATCAAGCTTTTAGAGTTGGGAGGGCCTCTGGAGAACATATAGTCCCTCAACCTCAAATTTACAGATGAAACCAAGCTTCTGTGTTAGCCAGGCACAGACAAGAACCCAGGTCCCTTGGCTCTCACTTTATACTTGTCCCCTACTGCCTCCCCTGCAAAAAAAAAAAAAAAAATCTATAAAGTTTATTTTATGATAATGTATGTTTTCACAGGTTTTCTCTGGAAGATTGGTTTTTTTGCTTTTTGCAGTGCTGGGGATTGAACATGTGGCCTCAAGCAGGCTAGGCAAGCGCTTTACCATTGCAGCTATATGCCCAACCCTGTAAGACTGGGGTTTTGAAGTTACTTCCACCAGCTTTGTATATTTCCTTTTTTGCTATTAAATCTTATATTAAAAACAATTGGCCAAGTGTGGTGGCACACAACAATAATCCTAGCAATTCAGGAGGCTGAGGCAAGAGGACTACAAGTTTGAGGCCAGCTTCAGCAATTTAGTAGGCCCTAAACAATATAGGGAGACCCTATCTCTAAATAAAAAATAAAAAGGACTAGGGATATAGCTCAGTGGTAAATTAGCCCTGGGTTCAATTCCCAGTACCCCCCCACCAAAAAAAAAAAAAAATTGACTAGTCATTTGGGAAGTTTCACTCACTGACTAAAAGATGGTATTAACACAGCTCTGGTGATTTAAACATTCAGAAAATAACTACCCTGTATCTCCATTTCAATTTCACCATTTTTTCTGAAACCGAATCTTCCTTAAAACTCTGTTATTATGTTTAACACTAATTCTCTATCATTTATCTTTAAAATTTTTTTAGTTATAGATGGATATAATACCTGTATTTTATTTTTTATTTTTATGTGGTGCTGAGGATCGAACCCAGGGCTTTACACATGCTAGGCAAGCACTCTACTACTGAGCTACAACCTCAGCTCCTATCATTTATCTTTAACCCCTATTATTTATCTTTAACAGTCTACTAAAAATTTTTTTCTAAAATATTTTTTTGGGGGGGAGGGGGTGGCGATATCAGGGATTGAACTCACCACTGAGCCACATTCCCAGTCCTATTTTGTATTTTATTTAGAGACAGGGTCTCACTGAGTTCAATAATGAAAAGAACATCAATATAAGAAATTGCTTGTGAGTGATTTGCTTCTTGGTACTGACAGAATAACATTATATTATAATTTAATAAGCTGAAATTACTGGTGAATCCTAAGACAAATTGCTTGCCTGAAGAATGACTATAATCCCAGTACTGTGCAGCCATCAGGTTGTTCAACTGGTACCACAGACACAATGTGGAGCTTGTTGAAGAGAGAAAATTATACATATTTAGGTCACTGCACCAGCTAATTAGCAAGTAAGTAGGTTGCCAAAGTCGATTCTCCCCTAAAAAATAAAAACAACTCCCTCAAAAAGTAAAATAAAAAACTCACAAAATATGAGCATAAGAACAAATGTAGCTTTTGGAGTCATATAACTAGCTATGTTTGTCATTCAGATATGACCTGAATTTTGTCAAAGGATTGTCCAAAAGCTAGAAAAGGTATGCTCTTTTATCTCTAATCTCCTCCTACATGTGTGTGTAGGCTCCACTCTCTGCCCTTCAGAGCTCAGTTCTGTAACAGAAAACTCCATGGAGGCTAAGAGATTTGAAGAAATCTTAAATGTGCAAAGAATCTCAGAGGTAATCAAACTCAACATCCCTAGCACCCCAATGTAAGCATTTCCTAAGTACACAATGTCTAGTTTTTAATTTTAGAACAGGCTTCCTTTCTCTCTTGGGGTCTTTCAAAAACTGATAAGATTTATGGGTTCAGAAAAATGTACTCAAATACATAAATGGACATCATTTTGAAGTTTCCTTTTAAAAATACTGTACTTCCTCTTCTGATTATGGGCTTCTCCATTACAACTGTTTCCTTATGGGAGCTCTGCATTTCTTTTTTTTTTTTTTTTTTAAATAAATCATCAAAATAAGACAATCTAAAGGCAGAGTTTGAGTGAAGGCAAAGAAGATCTTGTCTACTGCCCCAGGCTAGGTGACAATTTCTACTGACTCCATCTATAACTTCCCTGGGACTTTCTGGGTAACTCCTGTAATACACTGCAATTATGAAGAAATAAAACATTACTGAAACAGACAAAGCAAGAACAAGAAAACAACCATCAAAGTGAAAGGCAATAATGAAACAATATTTTTAACACCCCATACTAAAGAAAGCATTCTGTAATATTACAAGTTCCCCATAAACAAATAAATGAATTCATGAAAAGGTATTAGTTTTTACCTTTCCTCATTTCTCCTTATGAACAATGGAGAACAAACAGGAATAGTCTAACAACACTTTCAAGGCAAACTGACCTACTCTTCTCTCATCCAAGTAAAAAGTCTACCACCAGCAAAATTTCAAGTTGTGTTCTATTCTGAAGATATGGGATAACAGTTTACTAAACTGTAATAAGGTAATGAGAAATTCTACTTTAGCTCTGCCAGTTCTGATTAAAAAGGAAAACTAAAGGCAAATGAAAAAGATTTAACAGGCAGCAAATTAATATACATTATTTCTTTTGAGCAGCAAGAATGCTTCAGATGAATATCAATCCTCTTCTGAAGAGTTCCATTCACATAGAAACATTTATGCTCTACTGCAGAGAAGCACAGATAATATTTAAAAATCCCATGAGAGCAGATAAGAGAAAGAGCAGGAGGAAGCACTTCTAGGCAGCAGGAACACCTAATGAAAAGGAACAGTGGCAAAAGGGAGCCTCTAATACCTGGTAAGAACTTAAAAGTGGCCCTGTGGGACTACCTAAAGGGAGGCCAGAGAAACAGGATCACAACATCTTGAGTTCCATAGAGCAACATTATCACTTGTCTTCAAGTGATTTCCTAATCATCCACAGATAGTTTATTTTGGTTCTTTATAAAAGCAGTGCCAGAAGAGAATGCTTAAGTCCACACTCTGCTTAGGTAACATAGTAAGAGCCTATCTCAAAATAAAAAATAAAAAGGGCTGGGGAATGTAGCTAAGTGGTAGAGCACTCCTGGGTTCAATCCCCAGTCAGAGGAAGAAGGAAGGGGGGCACAGACAGACACACAGAGACAAAGACACAAACACACAGAGGCACTGGGGGTGGGTGGGGAAGAAGCCCTGCCAGTTTCCTAACTGCTGTTTTTCTATTCAACAAAAGTAGGTCATCTGAGTTCTAAGAATTTAAATTCTGGTCATCTGCGTTATAACCCCCCACCTAGGAAACCAATGAGTTCTTTTTACTTGGAACAGTTAAAAATAAAAATAAATAAAACAAAACCCATAAACATTCTAAGCATTCTGATTTTTCCCAAAATGGCCCTGGTGCAGGAAAAATGCCATTAATGGTCGAAACAGCACAGGGGAGTTCAATATAAGTGTTAACTGAATTATAATTTAAACTTCAAAGATGCTTTGATATTTTCACTAATAGATTTATGACACTTTAACTGCCTAAAATACTCAATGAAAAACAAAGCATCCCACCTTCCAGTTCTGCTAGCTGCATATACTTTTGACTTCCTACCTTGAACACACACATTGCTCATTCAGAAATAATTATTTTCCAGTCAATACAAAATTTCTGGGAGCCTGGCAGGGAGGCAAATGCCTGTAATTCCAGCAACTAGAGAGGCTGAAGCAAAGGGATCCCAAGTTTGAGATCGGCCTCCGCCACTTGGCGAGACCCTGTCTCAAAAAAACATGTAAAGTAAAAATGGCTAGGGATGTAGCTCAGCAGTAAAGAAGAGCATCTGAATTCACTCCCCAGTACTAAATAAATAAATAACAACTTTTGGGAGACAATTTACTGGAGACACACACATCTCAGTGCCTCGCGCGGTGCCGTCCGACTGTCTTCAACAAGTTCAACTTGCCCCCATGGTCTAGCACCAGGAAAACCACAGGAACCAGAGAAAGATAAGCAGTACTACGTAGTCTAGTCACAAGCAAATGGGGTGTCCATGGAGAGTATCAGCTGGGATGAGAGAGAAAGGCCACAGCAGAGGGCAAGTGAAAGACGTCGAAGTGGCTGATTTGGGTCTCCCACGACGCATTTCCCGGGCGCGCGGAACCATTCGGGGCCGGAATGGAGAGAGACTTGGGGATGAAGGATGGCCCCGGGGACAGCAGGGAGAAGCAGAGGGCAACGCCCCCTCCGCCAGGTGGAGAGGGAAGGAACTGAGGGTGTGGAAACGGCTGCTTCCTGAACAACCAGACTGAGCAGTGGCCGCCTGGCAGCCTCCCGCGCCCGCAGGCCATCGGCCCCCAGGGCCAGCCCCCAGTCCCCAGCCCGGGCTCGCCCTCCGCCGGCAGCGCACTCACCAGCTGCAAGCCTTTGAGAACCCGCCGATACCAAGGGAGTCGGGCCAGGGAGAAGCAGGCAGCGAGGCCTCTCCGGGCGCCCCTGGCGGGACCCGGGTCCTCTTCAGTGGTGGGGCTGTACACTGCTCCGTTCTCCATCGCCCAGAGTCAAGATCGCGGGAGCCGCGGCAGTTGCGTCTGACTCGGCTGGGTCCAGTAAAAGTCCCCGAGCAGCAAGGGGCGTCACTTCCTGGACCTCCACCCACGCTTCCGGCTGACTCCGCCCCGCCGCGACTCCGGCCTCGCCACGCCCCCTTCTCGCCACGCCCCCTCCCGCCCCAGGCCTAACCTTTTGCAAACGTGGTTATTGTTTGTGATTCTGGCATTTGACCAAGAACTGGTTACTTTCTTTTTCTTCCTTCCTTCCTTCTTCCTTTCTTTCTTTCTTCCTTTCTTTTTTTGCAGGGATTGCACTCAGGGGCACTCAACCACTGAGCCACATCCGCAGCCCTATTTTGTATTTTATTTAGAGACAGGGTCTCACTGAGTTCCTTAGCACATCACTTTTGCTGAGGCTGGCTTTGAACTCATGATCCTCCTGCTTCAGCCTCCCGAGCCTCTGGGATGACAGGCCTGCGCCACTGCGCGGGCTGGAACAGGTTACTTTCAATGAATTTTTTTTTTTTTTTTAAGGTGTTGGGGAGGAACTGAAGGGGACCTCATAGGTACTAGACTAGTGCCTTACTACTAAGCTACATCCCCAGCCCTTTTGATTGTTTGAGACACGGTCTGGCTAAATTGACGAGGCTGACCTCAAACTTGGAGTAGTTGCGATTACAGGCATGTGTTACATGTACCTACCGTAGATTTTAATACATTTTTCATTTCCGTCTTCCAGACACTAGTTCATTTGTTCCTTCAATCAATAAGTTTTGAGTGTGCAACAAACTTGGTTTTAGGTGTTGGGATTACAGCCATGTATCAACAGAAGATGCAAGATCCCTGCCCTGTTCCAGTACAAAAGCCAGTAAACAAGTAAACAATACGAATTTCAGATAGTGATAAATTATGTGAAAATACTGATAGTCCTAACTTAATATGAAAGTTCAATTTAGGATATTTTTACCTTACAGTGGTGCAAAATAGACACGCTCTCAGTAGAACCATACTTTTGAGTTTTGATCTTTTCAATAAATTATATGAGATATTCAACACTTTATTGTAAAATAGGCTTTGTGTTAAATAATATTACCTGAATGTGAACTAATGGAAGTGTTCTGAGCACATTTAAGCTAGGCTAAGGTATGATGTCTGGTGGGGTAGGTGTACTGTACTAAATTGCAACTTGTGATATCTTCAGCCTAAAATGGGTTCATTGGAACATAACCCCATTGTAAATTGAGGAGAAACTGTTGTGTGAGGTTTGGGTACTGACCAGTCCAGAACTTAAATGAGTGGTCAGGGAAGGCATTTCTGAGAATCTTAATGTTTGTGCTGAATGAGACCCAGTGGTTGAGAAGGAGCCAGGTCAAGATCTGGGGCGAGACTTTCATGCAGAGGGAACAGCAAATACAAGTGTCCTGAGGATCAAATGAGCTTGGCTAGATTTGTAGTTGGTGTGACTAGAAGCAAGTAAGGGAATAGGAGAAGAGATGGAGGCAGAGACTAGATAATTTAGGGACCTTAGATCTTGGAAGAATTTGGATTTCTTTCTCTTTCTTTCTTTCTTTCTTTTTTCTTTAAGGGATTAGAGCTTTACCAACCCTATTATCTGTCTATCTATCTGTATATTTTTTGAGACAGGGCATGAATAAATTGCTGAAGCTGACCTGAAACTTATGATGCTCCTGCCTCAACCTCCTGAGTAGCTTTGATTACAGGTATGTGCCACAGGGCTGGGGATGTAGCTTAGTAGGAGAGCACTTGCCTAGCATGCATGTAGCCCTGGGTTCAATCACCAACTGCAAAAAAAAAAAAAAAAAAAAAAAAAAAGTGATAGTATTAGCCAGGTGTGGTGGTGCATGTCTGTAATCCCAGTGGCTGGGGACACTGAGGCAGGAGGATCATGAGTTCAAAGCCAGCCTCTCACAACTTAGCCAGACCCTGTATCAAAATAAAATGCAAAAAAGAGGTGAGGATGTGGTTCAGTGTTTAAGTGCCCCAGGGTTCAATCGTGACCAAACAAACAACAACAATGACAACAAAAATAGTCATATGCCACTGTACCTGGCAAAGTTTTAGATTTCTATTTAAATAGAATGGATTCCCTGGAAAGACTTTCAGGATTTTCCCTTCTTACTTTTCTCTGAATTCCCACTTCAGAATTCAGAATTTCAACAGAAACATTTATTTATTTGTGTCTTTCTTATGCACCAACTGCTGTAGTCACATAGTTTAGTTTTGTGTAAAATATCAAGAAACATAATTATATTTTAGCAACGAAAGTTGATTGTTACATGTCAAGCTCACATATTTTCTCCAGGACAATATAAAGTAGTTACTAGGATTACCTTCATTTTACAAACAGAAAAGCTGAGGTCAAGAGGCTGTGTATCAAATCCAAGGCTAAATAGGCAGGAGCAGCTGAAATGCAGTTCTGACCATTCTGACTTAAAACCTAGCTGCTCACCACTAATCCAGCAAACCACAGCCTCTACTTCATCTCCCCATTAAAGTCTCAAAGCCCACGGATGAGAGGAGGGTTCTGCTGCCATCAGCTTCCACACTTATCTCTTATCCATGACCCCAAACCTCCTTTCTCCTTCCAGTAATAAAACAAAAGCTCTCATTCAGATGAATAGAGACACGTAGATAGGACTGTGTGTGTCAGCAAAAAGCTATTCTTCCGTCTTTGATTAAATGTATTCTCCCAAGGCCTTGTCTAGCCAGCAAAAAAACTATTCTTAACGTTTTTGATTAAATCTATTCTCTCAACCAATCACCAGTTATTTTTTCCCCCTTTGGTGCTGGTATTGAACACAGAGCTTCAGGGATGCTACTAAGTATGTGCTCTACCCCCGAATTGCGCCACCAGCCCATAGTCGCTAATTCTATCCAATAAAAGTAGGCCACTGTATTCTCACCAGTGCTAAAAGGATTCATAGCCCTGTTAGTCTTAAGTCTCAATTATCCCAAATTTTACCCTATTGATATCTGAAATTTCCCTTGAAATTCATCCAATAAATGATATGGGTTGATGACTAGAGAGAGATGTAAAAGGACAGACTCGTCTTAAAGCAATTGCTGAAATATGTTAATGGTAGAATCTAAGTAAAGTGTTCTGGTATCCACTCTCCAGTGATTTCAACTTTTTTGTACATATGAACATTTTCTAAATAAAATACTGGTGGTGGGGGAGTTACAAAGAAACAAGGACAGACTGTCTTTATTCTATTGGGTTGGTTAGAATGTACTTGGGCAGTTCTCTAGGGATCTCTTTGCATTTAGAAAATAAGAATTTAGCCTGTGATTAGTAAATTTCAGGGTGCATAAGAAACATCTATAAAGTTAATCTAAAATAATAATATTGGAGATCCGGAACCAAAGATTCTCAATTTGAGTGGAACTTGGAAGTATACGTTTGTAACAAGCTCTTCATGCAAATCTGGGAGGAAATCCGCCCACATGGAGGAACACTCTTCTGTATGAAACAGTGAAAGCCATTATGTACTACAGTAGGTAACTTTGCCCTGATTTGGGGAGTTGCCCACGGTTTAGAGACTAATATCCCTCCCAGTTAGAGGTGTGTGTCTCCTCCCCCAACCCCACCCCACCCCACCCCAGGTAAAAAAAAACCCATGGGTGCTCTACCATTGAGCTACCTCTCCGGTCTTTTTATTTTATTTTATTTTTATTTTGAGACACGTTCTCCCTAAGTTGCTGAGGCTGACCTCAAACTTGTAATCTTCCTGCCTCAGCCTCTGAAGTAGCTAGGATTAAAGGCACACACCACTATGCCTGATCCTTTGTTTTCTTAATGAATGAGAAACCAATGAACATTTTAGAGTTTCATGAGCAAATTCTGTTTGGGGTCATACCTTTTTGATGGGTGCATCCACACAAAAAATCTCCATCATTAATTAATAAATAAACACTGAACAGTCAAATGATGGGACTCACCACAACTAAAGTGAGAAAAAATTATTCATGATGAAACAATACACCATAAAAAAAATAGAAAAAGAAGACTGGGTGCGGCAGCCCATGCCTATAATCCCAGCAGTCTGGGAGGCTGAAGCAGGAGGATCACAAGTTCAAAGCCAGCCTCAGCAAAAGCAAGGCGCTAAGCAACTCAGCAAGACCCTATCTCTAAATAAAATACAAGATAAGGCTGGGGATGTGGCTCAGTGCCCTGAGTTCAATCCCTGGTACCAAAAAAAAAAAAAAAAAAGAACTGAAGAATCATTTAAGTGCTGAAGAATATTCAATTTTCTCTTTAATTTAATATTAAATATTTACTAAAAATTTTTGGCAGTTTTTTTTTTTTTTTTGAGAGGAAGGGAATGATATCTTTCTCTGTCTCCCAGGCTCGTCTCCAGTGTATAGACTCAAGTGATCTGCCTCAGCCTCTCGAGGAGCCAGGACTATAGACATGAGCCACCACACCCAGTTTCAGTATTTTTTTTTAAATGAAAGGAAACCAATCACAAGAAGAGATAGATTGAGGAAACATGATTTGAAGGAATGCTAGACACTCAAAAACTAATTTGGTATTACTTTTCTACTTGAGATTTTTTTTTTTCCCACAGCCCCTACTCAAAAAAATGTCACCAGCTCTTTCATTTCTCTTAGCAGTTAGGCAATCCCATGGATACAAAGTTGAATAACAGATGCTGTCCTAAAATGAGGCCATAGAAATAAATGTCCATAGGGCCAAGTAACAAAATAAGAATTCAGTATGTGACATAAAAAAAAAAAAAAGATAGAAAGTAAACATGTTGGGAATTTGGAGCAGAGAGAAGTGAACTTCAACTAACAGAGCCAGTACAGTGGAGCTTCAAACTGGGGTCAGACAACCTTGAGGTGAAAACATAGGACACCAGTGACATGGAAGACAGCAAAGAAAGTGCACATAGCCACCACGAGTGGAGGGGAAGAAAGAGTCAGGGAAGATACAGTTGAGGTCAAATTTGGCCACACAACTGGGCCTTCCCATTTGGCCACTTCACTGGGCAATGAGGACCCACCAAAGGATTTCGGGTAGGGGAGTG